GTTCAAAACTTGCCTGTTCATTAAAAGCACCTGGGAAGGGTCTTCCCTGATGGTCCAATGGTTAAGAATCCACCTTCTAATGTAGGGGACACAGGTTTGATCTTGAGTGGGGAACCAAGATCCACATGCTGCAGGTGATAAGCCTGCATGCTGTATCTAGAGAGAAAAGCCCCCTAATGCCACAATTACAGAAAAGCCTGCATGTCACAAGGAAGACCCAACACAGTACCCCCCACACCCCCTCAAAAAAATATCACCAGGGGAACTGATTCTTAAGTCCCATACCAGAGCTACTAGTAAGATTCTCTGAAGGTGGAATCCAAAAATCTATTTTTAAAATTTCTATACTTGTCATAGGACATATTACTACTAACTAGGTATGCTTAACATACATGCCTTATTCCATCAACTAGTGGAGGAAACACTGTCCTATTCATCTCTGTGACCCATCCAGTACCGTTATAGAACAGGCACTGGAAAATATCTGTTGGTTGTTGGAGTTCTGCTGCAGAGGGCACAGGTTTGATCCCAGATCAGGGAAGATTCCGCAACCCCCCCCTAAAAAAAATCCCCGCTGGTTATTTCCTTTTTAAAATATTTATTTTTATTTATGGTTGTGCTAGGTCTTCATTGCCATGCACAGGCTTTTCTCAAGTTGTGGTGAGTGGTGGGCTACTCTCCAGCTGCAGTGTGCAGGCTTCTCTTGTCTGTTGAGAAGCACAGGTTCTATGCACATGGGCTTCAGCAGTTGGGGCTGGAGCGCTCCAGAGCCTAGGTTTGGTAGCTGTGGCACACGGGCTTAGCTGCCCCTCAGCATGTGGGATCCCCCTGAACCAGGGATTGAACCAGTGTCCCCTGCATTGCAAGGCAGATTCTAGCCACTGGACCACCAGGGAAGCCCTCTGTTGGTTATTTATATGCTAAAAAATTATAAGGTACACTGTGAGCTATATTGTTACAAGAGTTCAGAGGATAATAGTAACAGTAACAGCTAGCACTTACTGAAACCTCATCATATGCCAGGCCCTCACTGTTCTAAGAAATTCACAAGTATTAACTTCTTAGGACTTTGCAATAATCCTATAAAGCAAGATCAGGACACAATCTGCAGGGTCCCTCGTTAAAAAATTATTAAGAATTTCAATATGGTGACAGCAGAGCATTAAACCAGTGAGGGGCCAACATTTCTAGGCACATGTGTGGCTGCGCAGGTCTTACACCCATAGGCCAACCCTAGCTGAAACTATTATCTCCATTTTACAGATGAGAAAACCGAGATACAGGGGCATCAAATAAGCATTTCCAAGATCACAGTTAATTAGATATAAATATGCACTATCTTAGGGAAGGCTTCATTGCAATCTCTGTATTTATGAAGTTCTCCAATCTTTCAAGGTTCAGCTCAAAGACCCTCTGTCTACTAAGTATTCTCATAAGCCAGGAAAAAATTCTCCTCCTCCTCCTCTGATATTTTAGCTCCATGGCCATATCTGGTTTGCACCTTTCTTATGGACTTCATCACATCCCCACGTTACACCTGAAATAGCCCGGGAAGTGCGGGGTACGTCTAATAAATTCACGTACTTGAATGAATGACCAAAGACACAAACTTGTGCAGGACTTGAGGACTGGGAGAGACAAGGAGGGAACTCCAAGCAGGGACAGGCCTAAGACAGAGAGCACTTATGGAAGACGAAGAGATATGGCTGCCTTGATTGGCCCAATGGTACACATGGGTGCTAGAGTGGATAACGCTGGAAAAGAGGGTGAAGTATAAGATGTTATAAAGTGCCTTTAACAAAACTAGACCATCACTTCTCAGGGGCTGAAAGGATATGATGCATGTGCCCCTCTGAGGCCAGCCAGCTTTGCTTAGGAGGAAAAGGCATCAAGCCACAGTCTGACAACTTCTCCCCTCACAGCCAGTCACGTCACATATAAGCTCTATGGGTTAACGGGGAGACTGAGCCTGAAGCACCATCTGATCTCATCCATTCACCAATTCACTTGTTTAACACATGCTGGTGAACATATTCCGGAATGAGATACTTACACCGAGCACTTCACAGCTCCCATTCACACTCAGTCCACCCAGTGGTGTGCCAGAGATTCTCCCATTTCACAGGTCTAAGGAATTAAGTAACTTGCTCAGGATCAGACAGCAGGAAGTGGGAGAGTAAGAATGAAATCCAGTTTCTCTCTTTCAGAATTTGCTTATTGGACATGCATATTCCTGATATTCAAAAAGTTATAGAGAAGAGCCTATTAAAACCCACGTACTCCATTCAGAACTCAAGAGATACAACCTGAAGCCCCTGTGTACCTCTCCACATTCTACTAAACCGCATGGCCGCCAATTCCTCCTACTTGGTTAACACTGCCTGTGGCATCACCACCCAGAAATCTTCAATCGGTTTCCAAGTTCGGTACCGTTTCTATTTCCACTATTACCTCTACCCTTTCGCATTCTACAAGTAACATCTCGCATCTGCATTATTACAATGGCCTTCTAATTGGTTTCCTTGCATCTGCTCTTCTACATTACAATCACCAACCTTTTTAAAACCTTTGAGTAGCTGCCCTTTGGTCTTAGGATATAGACAAAAGCATCTGCATGGCATTCAAGGGTCTCAGATGGGCTTTCCCCCACTTGCACACTAGCTTTATCGCCATCCCTTGTTCCCTGTGTTTTGGGCATACTGGCCTTCTTGCAGTTCCTTCTAGTCCCCAAGCTCTCTCCCACTACAGTGTCTTTGCACACAGTGTTCCTCCCTTCTTCATCTGAGTAACTCTTTTCCCTTTCTCTGGTAAACTTTCTTTCCTTGAGCCTCCTGGCTGGGTCATTCTTTGATATGTCTTTTACAACTTTACATTTATTTGTGAGATTAACTGATCAAATTAATAGGCCTTTCCTAACAGGCCAAGGACCAAGAACCGCTTGCTTACTACAAAATATACGCTAAATAAATAAGAGCTAATGTATATATATAACATATATAATATGCCAGCAGTGATCCTAGGACTTACCAACCCACTAAGACCTCCCAAAAGCGCTATGAAGCAGGTACAATTATTAGCCCCATTTTACATATAAACAAAGTAAATCACACAAGCTAAGAAGTGGCAGAGTTGGTTCATGAACTCGGGCAGTCAGTTTCTGGAGTCTGAGTGCTAAGTGCCTCAGTAAATCTGCTGAATGCATGACAGTGTTGAGTGCTTTTGACAGGAACTACATAGCACCTATCTTAGTTCAACCAAAAAAATCAGTTGGTTATGTTAAGGGTCCTACGTTTGACTGGAACTTTGCTACAAAACATTTATCTTCTTAGCATTTTATTCCAGCTACTTGAAAATCCATTTGCCCTCACTGGTAGCATCATGAATCATGACTGATGCTGAGCAGAGGTGCAAACTGGTAAAAGGGTAGGAAAAAGTTGGCTTGGAGTGGAACAGAACTGTGGGTCATTTGTAATATGGGTAATCCTCATAAAGACAATTCAAAGGTTTTCATAGACGTCATCTCACTTAACCTTCATTGATTCCTAATAAAGTTACACACACTGGGCAGTTCTGCATCAGCTGATAGATGAAGCAAAAGGCTGAGATTAGGACTGCTAAATCATCAGAAATTAACTAGTCACAGGATGGGTAAGGAAGGTGTCCCCATACTTCCAGTTTCAGAAATGCGTTATTTCTGGCAGAGAAAGACCTCTTCCCCCTTCTTAAGGGTTAAAGGTAGCTAGCTAATCTTTCCTGATTCTTTCTTGGCTGCCCTGCACCACCTGTGGAGTGTCCAGTTCTCCCAACCAGGGACTGAACCCAGGCCGTGGCAGTGAAAGCACTGAATTCTAACTGCTGGGCTAGCAGAAAACTTCCTAACTCTTGGTTGGAACTTCTCAGCAAGGACGGAGTTGCTCTTAGGTTTTCCCAGTATGGCTACAGTAGGGGAAATTATCCCACAGGCTCAAGTTATACGGTAAAGAGCTCTATAAGCTAGCTACATCCAATTAACCCTAGGCCAAAATGGTACAAATGTAACAATTCAGGAAATTCTTCACCCAGAGTCTCTATACCAATGTAAAGGAAGTCAAGAAACTGTACGCACCTTTTCTTTATGTGCATTTTGCTAAGGCAAAGTTTTCATTAGTCTCTTTCAGGGCTGTAACTAAAAAAGGCTAAGAACTTTATGCCTGTATACACATTCATTCTGGTTCACGGAACCAGAACTTTACAATAGGAGCACCTTCGCAGGATGAAAACATTTCTATTCCTTCAAGTACCTGATAGCTATGGATGTGGGTCTAGGAGGAACCCCAATATCCAACCCGCGTTAAGTTTAACCTTGTGACAGCACAGGCCTCAATCTAGAAATAGGTCTAAAGGGACTGCACTAGCATTCACCTCCTTGGAGTGGCCTGTTAAGGATAAGGACTATGAGGAGTGCTCGAATCCAGTCCCAATCAGGCCACTAATCGGCTGAGTAACCTTGGACAAGTTGCATACCCTCTCTGGGCTTCAGTTTCCACATCAGCAAATTGGAAGTTGAACAGTACGGTCTTCAAGGTCCTTCCCAGCAGAGAGCCTGGTACCAAGTAGGCCTAGCCATTAAATCAGCTTCCTGTGGGCGCGGTGCAGGGCTTTAACGGTCCCCCCTCCCCCGCTCGAGCCCGCGAAACCCTCAGCACGCCCCTCGGAGTGACGCCGCTTTCTCAACCGCAGCCTGGACACGGCTCCGCCTTTTCCCGGGGGCGTCCCGTCGTGCCCCGCGCCAGGCTTCTAAAGCTGTGGGTCGACTCCCGCCTTTCCGCGGCCCCGACCCCGAACTCCTCTCCCCAGTTTTCTCGGGTGCCCTATCCTATCAACGTCTAGTATCCCAGCCAATCACGCGGGTCCGGAGTCTTACCTTCGGTCCACCCTCCTCCCAGCGCCCAGCCGGCCCAAGCTCAAGGCCTTTAGCAGGCCAATCCAATCAGTGGCCGGCTCTGGCCGGCCTCACCCCAATGTCCCTCCTCTCGGCCAATCCGCGCGCCCCATTCTGCTGCCCGCCCAGCCAACCCCGGGCCTTGAAACCAGTGGGCAAATGGGCGCAGGGCGGCCCTTCAACGCTGACCGCCTGGCCAATTGGGGATTCCGCGTGGCCCCGGCGGCAACCAATCGACATGGAGCGCGGTGCCGCCGCGGAGAGGTCCGGCCGAATATCCCTCCGCCTTCCTCCCTCCCTCTCTCTCCCTCCCTGCGAGCCGCCGTTCACTTACTGCCTCCCTTCCCTTCTTTCTCCCTCCGCCACCCTAGCACCAGCCGCGCTCTGAGCTGCCCCCGGGGTCCCTCCCCCGCCGTCAGAGGAGCAGCTGCCGCCGCCGCCAGCAGCAAATTAGGAAGAGGGAGGAAGGAAGGAAAGGAGGAAGGAAGGGGAGCTGGAGCGACTACCAAGAGGGAACCGGTGAATGGGCTTGTGGTGACCCCCGCCCCCCACCCCACCCTCCCTTCCCACCCGACCCCCAACCCCCATCCCCAGTTAAGAGCCGCCGCCCGAGAGGCCGGGCCGTCGTCTTAGGAGGAGTCGCCGCCGCCACAACCTTCGCCATGGAGCTGATCACCATCCTCGAGAAGACCGTGTCTCCCGGTAGGACGCGGGGGCCGGGGGTCGGGCTGAGGTGATTGGGTGGGGGGAGGGGAAACCCTGGCCCCTCTGACCCTGGCCCCTTTCCCACTTTCCTTCCCCCCAGATCGGCTGGAACTGGAAGCGGCGCAGAAGTTCCTGGAGCGTGCGGCCGTGGAGAACCTGGTGCGTGCCACCCCACCGTCCCCCATCCCGACGTCTCCTCATCCTCTGCGTGCGGGCCTTCCCGCCCTCCCGGAGGCCCAGGCCTCGGGAACCCACCCCGCCCCATCCCGTCCCCCTCCCCCCCCGGTCCAACCTAACCCCGCCATCGGGAAGCCGGTGGGTGTGTCCCGCCCCGGGCCCCGGCAGCTAGCCAATGGCGCGGCGCGCCGGGGTGACTGCCGCCCAATCGGCTCGCGGCCTGAGGGCGGCGGTGCAGCAGGAGGGAGAAAGAGGGAGGGAGGGGAAGTTAGGTTGCACCGTGCTGCGTGTTCAGCAAGGGTGGGGGTGGGGGAGCCGGGCCTAGGGGCCATGTGGAAGCTCGGGTCCCCGCTGCCCGCCCAGTTCGGATCGGGACCGGCTTCTTCTTTCTGTCCCGTGGCCCCTATGATTTTCCACGTACTTGCAGAGCTCTCCCCTTTCCAATCTCCCTTGATCTATGTTCATGGCCAGGCCTGCACCTGAATGCCTCTTAACCCATTCCGGCAATGTTTCTCCCTTTTCTTGACTGGTTATTCCTCTCCCAGGTCCCCCCTCCCCCTCAATCACTAGAGACTAAATCTGCACCCAGATAACAGGCTGAGGCTCATTCTTGAGATCGGGCCTGTTTCCAGAGGAAATCACAGAGGAAAGTTCCTCGTTTGTCATATTTTCGAATTTAAGGGGTACAGGGAAAAATGAATGTTAAGTCCACTAGAGACTGGACCTCTGTGTAAGAATTGTTAGATGGATTGGTTGAAACAGCCTGTGTGCCAGTGATGTTTCTCTGTATTCCCTCCCGTTGGGGGGGATGGGGAGCAGAGAGAAGGCTCAATGATACTAGACATGGTTTAAGGTAAATAACACTGTAACCAGATGTGTTCTTTTGTGTTATCTATGCAGAATAGCGCAAGCAAAAACAGTGACAAGGAGTATTTTTATTTTATACAAGTTAGGTTTTTTTGTGTGTTTTGTGGGTTCCCCCCCCTTCCATGTGCTAGTTTTTGCTGCTAATCTTTTTATCGTTAACTTTCCATAGAAAAGACTTTTTTTCCACTAGTATGGAACTTTTGGTATATATATTTCTGTTTTCTGGTTTTGCTAAATTTGCAAGAAGCCTTTTCTTACACCTAACATTTATTTTGTCTTGTTCCCAACGTTCCTAACATTCTTTAGTGGTACATAATTAATAAAAGTTTTAAGAATTATCTTCTACTGTAATTAAGGGTAAGAAGCTGTCTGCTTTTGGGTTTTCCTGTTAACTTTTCCATTGGAGAGAGTTTGTTTGTTTTTGTTTGTTTATTTTTGGAGAGAGTTTTTTGTGGAGAAGAGTAATGTGTGTTAAGATATTTAAACCAAAGGAGTAGTTTTGGGGGACCTCTGCATTACAAAAGGTCGAGTGGATTAAAAAATCCACTGTGTAAACAACTCAAGACCAAAATGAATAGGAACCTTTAGTGTGGTAACCATAAAGTCATTTTCCTTGATATTTTTATCCTTTCACATGCCCCCATTTTTAAATATTTGTTATTGCTTTTTCCTTATATATATGTTTTACATTGTTACCCTCTTGCTGAAGCACCTTAAAACTAAAGATCAGCCTCCTAAGTCTGTTTTAGGTTTATAAGTACTTCCCTGTCTTATGCATGCTTTCATGAGATCAAAAGCTACCCTTGAATATCATTTTTTTGGACTAAGATTTTTTAAAATCTAAATTAAACAATTTTACTTTCTACCCTGTCATAACATATTCAGTTAATAAGTATAATTTACTGAGGTACCAGATAGTATTCTAGGCATGTAGAAGAATCCTCTGACTACCAGTTTGTCAAACTTGCTTTAATTCTGGGGGATCTAATGTGAAGATTCAGGCATTAAGCTATAACTCCTTGTTAAATGCTGAGTCTGTGTGAGAAGATGGATGACTTCCTTATGTACCAAGTAACATTTTTATAGGAATCTTGAAGTAAATATTGGCATTTTCTGAGACATTGTGTTATGTCCTAATATTTTTAGGTTTTCCCCAGTTTTTTGGTGCTAGTCTCGATTGGTGAAATTCCTAAGAGATATTTTTATTCACATCTTTTAACAGCCCACTTTCCTTGTGGAACTGTCCAGAGTGCTGGCAAATCCAGGAAACAGTCAAGTTGCCAGAGTTGCAGCTGGTCTACAGATCAAGAACTCTCTGACATCTAAAGATCCAGATATCAAGGCACAGTATCAGCAGAGGTGGCTAGCTATTGATGCTAATGCTCGACGAGAAGTCAAGAATTATGTAAGTAATTTGGTCATACTAGCCTTTGGTCATACTAGCCTAGGGAATGTCGGGTTTTTTGTCATATATTTGAAGATTTTGAAAGTTGTATTTAAATCTTTCTCATAGTCTTTTTTCAAGTGATTCTTCCTTAGTTAACTAGCATGGAGCTTTTCTTGAACATCTGCTGTAGATAATTCTCAATGTTTGGTGGGTTAGGCATGGTGCTGTGTGGTCAGGAAGGGAATTAAATGATCTCTTGGGCCTTTCAAGCCCCAAGAGTTTATGAAATAAGATTATGACTTTAATCTTGTTTTTATCTACTTAGCAAATTATGAGAAATTTTTAGAAATATCTGGCTTTTTGTCAGTGTTTAAAAGAGTTAGCAGATGGATTTTTTTTTTTTTTTTTTTTTGAGGAAAATTGAATGTCCCTTGTCACTGTGCATTATGGGGTTCTTGTGAGTTTCTTGTTGAATTAGAAATTCATAATTCTTGCCACAGCAGAGTATCAGAATATATGTATATATATACACTCTTTTTAAAAATTAGATTCTTTAGTGGCCTGTCTTACATGAATAAGGTGCAGAGAGTAGTAAGTCAAGAATCTGTGCAGTCACATGGGCCCTGCTATTTGAGGGGAAGCCATTGGGAGGATTCCTGCGTCTGTACTTGTGCTGGTCATGGTTCTGAATATCATATTTTCTGTTTCCTGGTTCTGGGTGTCAGCATTAGGTAAATTAGTGCCCTTTGCAGCAGTAACTTTTGTTTCTAATTATGTATCTCTTTCTCCAGTCTTGCATGGAGGAACTGATGACAGAAAACTGGGTTACAAAAGTCAACTTACTTTGAATCTTCTTTGGAATATATAGAGCTATTTCTATCCACTTGAGTTTGCTTATATAATAACATTTTAATCCTCTTCTCAATAATTTGATATAAATGAAGTTTATGCCATTAATGACTGGAAATCTTGATATTTACTGTACTCATTCAATTTCTCATTTTCCTCAAATTACACAGTAGTAAATGGGAGAAGACATGATCAGAACTGTAATTGGGGGTGAGGCACATCTATCTTAGCCCCAGAATTTTTTAAAAATTTTGAGTAGGAATTTCTATCAGCATTATTGAGCTTTTGTGCACGAAAGGTAACAGCAGTTATTTAGGGCTTTTTCCCTTTTCATAGCACATCTGGTGATACTCTCTCAGTGCTGGTGGTTATTTCTTTTTTTGAAATCTGAGTCTTGGACAGAGTTGAGAGCTGATTTCTTACTTTTATTTCTGATAATTGAATATTACCTTTAGGGTCACCCTTGGTTAAAAAAAAATAACTTGTAGTACTCAAGAGTTAGACATTTAGTTTCTAAATCACCTGAGGTAATATTAATGGTCTTCTAGAAACAACTTAAAGGAGAAAAGATAAACATAGAGACTGGGATTCAGTATGCATTCCATATGTACTCGGAGATGGTGCAATACAATGTGAAGGCACCTTATGATTTCTTAGTCTGACTTGGATTAATACCTGTTCACCCCTTGCCCTTTTGGACAGTTCATCTCATCCCTGCTCCCCGCCCATGTCTTTGACACACAGATTTTGTTAAAGTCCAGTCTAGCTCTGGAAGGCCTAGAGAGCAAAACCTTCATTTAGAATCAGTCAGATGTTACTGAGCTGATGATATACCATATAAGGGGAAAGATAGGAGGGAGTTCATTATTATTAGCTACAAAGCAGGATACTAAGTGACCTGACCCAGTCAGCAGAGCTGGCCTGAATGTCTGGCAGCTACTCTTTGTCCTGTGTTCATGCCAGGAACAGTTAACTGTTGGCCTTTTTGAGTGGACTGGTGAGTCTTAGTTCATTGACTGAATTAGCTGATCATGGTAATGATTAACTCTGGGTCATTGTGGCTTCATTCTTTGTCTATACTTGTGCCTTTGCTACTTACCTTGTGTTGAAAATTGAGGTGAGGTGTCTGGCTTTGGAGATTCTATTTAGAAATAGGGGGTGATTGGTTTCATTTCTAGGCTCTGGGGCAATGCTGATCATGCTGCTCTTGGTATTGAGGCCAGCTTTATTCCCAACAGTTGGCCTATGCTGTATATGCCTTTTCCTACTTTTCTGTATTAAAGATAATTCATAGACTGATATAAGATGTGTGCTGGTAGGCACAATGTGTTCAAATAGTATTAGAAATTGATATCTTTTGTCTTTGTGTGTGTGTGCCCCCGCACAGGTTTTGCAGACTTTGGGCACAGAAACTTACCGGCCTAGCTCTGCCTCGCAGTGTGTAGCTGGTATTGCTTGTGCAGAGATCCCAGTGAACCAGTGGCCAGAACTCATTCCTCAGCTGGTGGCCAATGTCACAAACCCCAACAGCACAGAGCACATGAAAGAGTCGACATTGGAAGCTATTGGATACATTTGCCAAGATATAGTAAGTACCGTATCCAACTTATATACCACTGATTCCCTCTAGTTGTAACATGCAAGGTATTAGAATTATTCTTTATCATCATGAAAAAAAAAACAAGCTATTGCAATGTATTTTGAAAGTAGGGCTGCTTTATTTGTTAGACTTCTATATTTGGATAGTTAATTTATCTTCATATTGCTAATCATGCCCTAAAGAAAGAGACTTTTAAGGGTCACAAACTCAAGATGAAAATCCCTGTTTGTAGAGGCATAGATTCTGCCTCCTCTCTTTGACCTAATCCCTTTTTGAAGATCCTCAATGTCCAGGGATGCTGTGTTACTTTTTCAATGACTGTTTTACAGAAACAGTTTGCCAACTTTTGAGCTGTGGTTGGTTTAACTACTGGAGCCACGACACAGTATGTTAAATGCAGCACTTCTAGGACTCTTGCTGCTGAGATTACCACTCTTGGTATCAGTTTTTTGTTTTCTTTTCCCCTATTTTCTCAGATTTTATTTGGTTTAGATGCTAAGTCATGTCTGACTCTTGTGACCGTATGGGCTGTAGCCTGCCAGGCTCCTCTGTCCATGGGATTCTCCAGGCAGGAATACTGGAGTGGGTTGCCATTTCCTTCTCCATTGGTATCAGTTTTGATACACAGATTTGATGAAGCAAAGGAGTCCATAGCACCTGACTCCATAGGTGTGCCAGGTGTTGATCCTTGGTCCTCAGATGTTCTGAAGCTTTACTTCAGTTGGTACAGATGGCCTGGAAGAAACACCACACTGCCATCTCCATGTGCCCAGAATGGTGGGGGCGGGGGGAAGCCATCTTTACCTCATGCCCAGAGTGATTATGCTAAGAAGTCAAGAGATGAAGTTGATGAGTTTAACTTGTTCCAGTTCAAGTTTGGACTATCAGACCCTGGGATATTTTGCAGGTGGCTTGTTCTTAAATGGAAATGTGGGGGGGAAGATCAGAGAAAGTCTCATGATACTCTCTTGAATAGAAGGACTGCTGATTAGTCATGAGCTCAATTATTATATTCACTGCACTTCTGCTTGTTTCAGGACCCAGAGCAGCTACAGGATAAATCCAATGAGATTCTGACTGCCATAATCCAGGGGATGAGGAAAGAAGAGCCTAGTAATAATGTGAAGCTAGCAGCTACTAATGCACTCCTGAACTCACTGGAGTTCACCAAAGCAAACTTTGACAAAGAGGTAAGTGTCTTTTGATTAAAAAGTATAGGTTCAGAGGGTGAGGCAGGGGAGCTAAATGAAAGTTTTGTGTTGTTTTAAGGTTATGATTCAGAAAGTACTATCTTGTTTAGAAGCATTTATTTCCAGTCTAGTTAAGATTTGTGTTTTGTAAACATGGCCATGGAACAGGTGTTTGCCATTTCTCATCTGGCTTTTGAGAATAATGTGATCTAAAATGTTCCTAGGCTTAGGTTTTCCCTTTTGCAGTCCAAAATGTGAGTATGCTCTGGGGATTTTTTTTTTTTAATTACGGAAATTGGGCTGTTTCGTACTTCAGTAGGAAGGTGCTTTTGGAAGTTAATATATAAATTCTATTTTGACTGAAAGTATTTCCCTCTATTATTTCTTTTTAGTTGTGTTAAAATGTACAATGAAATAAAGTTTACCATCTTAACCAATGTATAACTCAGTAGTGTTAAGAGAGTGTACGTTGTTTTGCAGCCAATCTCCAGAACTTTTTTCATCTTGCAAGACTGAAACAATTGTTAATTCCCTGTTTTCCCTTTCCCAGTCACAGGCAACCAACTTTTCTACTTTCTGTTCTTATGAGTCTGTTTACTGTAGATAATTTATATTAACAGAGTCATATAGGATTTGATTTGTCTTTGTGACTGGCTCATTTAATTTAGCATTATGTCTTGGGTTCATTCCTGTTACAGCATGTGTCAGAATATCCTTTTTAAAACTGAATAGTATTCCATTGTATTTGTTTGTTGATGGGCATTTGGTTTGCTTCCTTCTGCCTTCTGGCTATTGTGAATAGTGCTGCTGTGTATGTGGGTATACAAATATGTCTTTGAGAAGTTGTTTTCTGTTCTTGGATATATTATCCAGAAGTGGAATTGCTGGATGATATGGTCTGAAAGCGTTGTATGTATTTGTTGACTCTTTAGTTGGGCTTTCTGGGTTTTTTTGGCCTTAGATTGGACAAAGTTGGGATGTCTAAGAAACCAAAGCAAACTGCAGTTCTAATTACTTGGAAAACTGGGTTTTTCCTTGTGGGTATCAAAAGAGGATGGAAGCAAACAAAATTCATTAAGTCTTCTGTGTTTTACCACAGTTGATCTGGGTTTGTTTAAATTAAGAATTCTCTTAAATTTTAAATGCAAGGAAAGGAGTTTTCCTGATGTGTGATTTTTTTTGTTTTAACCATCTTTATTTAAATCCTGTGACCTACATTTTTCTATCTGCTTCCTTCTTCAAGTCTTGTTTTAGTGAAGATCATTTGAGGGATTAAACGATTAGGGACCTCCTTAGAGGGCAGGTCAGATAGTAGACACCAGGGCAAACACTAGAGTCCTCATAGTCCCATTGCTGTGTCCAGGAAAACCTGCAAATGGTCCAGAGTTCTGTGGGTCCCTGAGGGAAAGAGAGGTTTTCCTTGAAGGGATAGTCTAGTAATCTTCATATATATATGCTTCTTCTAATTCTCTTTATTTTTGTTCTTCTGCAGTCCGAAAGGCACTTTATTATGCAGGTAGTCTGTGAAGCCACACAGTGTCCAGATACGAGGGTAAGTGTGAGGTCATGTCTTCTATCTTTCCTAGAAAATGCTCACTCTAACATAGTAGTTTGAAATGTTGGAATCTGGTGACTTCAGAAATAGCGTTTGACTAATACTTCTATTAATAAAAGAATTTTTCTTCAATATATTAGAGAAGAGGGAAGAATAGTCCTTGGAAAGCTAACATGATGGAAGTTGCCACCCTCTTAAAAAAGATTTAAGGGAGAAATGGTTTGTGATCAGCCTTGCTACTTAATTGCTGTAGGTTGTTCAAGGGCCTATTTTCCATTATAGCCTTTGAAACAGCTTTCCTACTTTGGGAACCTAAACCTTAACCCTTGAAGCAGGTGGAAGTAACATCCAGTCTGAGGGCAATAGTGAGTAGTCCTGCCAAGGGTTCCACAGACACCTTTAAAGTAAAAAAGAAGGAAAAGAAGACATTACCCAAATATACCTTGATTGACCCTATAGATTATTGACCCACTTAAGTGAAGCAGGTACTTATTTACCTTTGTCAGATGGCATTGTTTTTAAACTAAGAAGTAAACTGTTTAATCTGATGTTTGCACAAGGTACGAGTGGCTGCCTTACAGAATCTGGTGAAGATAATGTCCTTATATTATCAGTACATGGAGACATATATGGGTCCTGCTCTTTTTGCAGTAAGTACTTCTATTTTATGCAGTTGAGCATATATAGCTAATTGCAAAAGCCCCTTTTATTCTTAGATGCTGTTCTGTCAGTTCCGTAATTTTTTTATTTAATGTTGTGAAATCAAGGAAATTCCTTGAGTATTAGATTTGAGTTCATCAGCAGTGTGCCAAGAAAACTTGTGCTAACTTTGTACTCATAAAAAGAATATATTTTAAAACTCTTGTTTCTTCTTCCTGCCTTTCCTTTCAGACCTAGATTTCATAGATCTACATTTTTGAAACTTGAATATCTGTTGTTGTAGGAGGGGTCGAACTTGAACCAGCATTTATTTGGAACCTGGGGTATCTTGTTTTCTCTCTTAAGATCACAATTGAAGCAATGAAAAGTGACATTGATGAGGTGGCCCTACAAGGGATAGAATTCTGGTCCAACGTCTGTGATGAGGAAATGGATTTGGCCATTGAAGCTTCAGAGGTGAGCCTAGGAGGGTTGATGTGCTGGGAGCTGTTATTCTGACTGGGTTTTGGGACTTACCTTTTTTGTGGATGTTATTTTTCTCCTCTGGGAGAGCTTTATTCTGACTGGGATTAGAAGGTATCTCCATTTGTAGAGATTTTGGGTTTTTTTTCACTAGCCACAACTGTGAGGCATCTATTTTTACCAGCCTGGATTTGTTGTAAATATTAGTCCTGTGAACACAAGGGGGCAGCAGGCAGTCACATTTTAACCAGATGCTATCTGATGCTGAATTATTTTCTTTTGGAAGTCCTAATGCAAGGATGGGATGTATAATTGATAGCTTACCAACCGGTGAAGAAATTAGATATAGAGAAAGGGGTTAGTTCTGCACTTGCAAATTAAAATTCTGGCTTTGTTTCCAACCTTAATTGTCTTTATGTCCTTCAGAAAGCACTGTCTTATTTTTGGCCACCTTATGGGAGCTTAGTGCATCTCTTTATCCAAAGGTCAATTAGTGAAAAAAGAATGTAATTGTTAAGATTGCCTTGATCCTTTAAGGTAGATTATATGTATGGCCTAAAAGAATTTGATTGAAGTAGCTAGACAAAATGAGTACCTCCAAAGACCACTCATACTGCACGTTACCATGTGCTTCATGTGTTTTGGCTGGGGGATGGAGCACACCTCAAGGCATGCAGGATCTTCCCTAACCAGGGATGGAACCCATGCCACCTGCAGTGGAAGCGTGGAGTCTTAGCCACTGGTCTGCCAGGGCAGTCTCCGTGTCCCTGTTGCCCTGAGCAGACCCATGGGCAGCTCTCACTGTATGACTTTACATGGTACGTTTTCCTAGTTTGTTTGCTGCCATCCGGAATTTGCTTTATGTTTCTCTTCAGGCAGCAGAACAAGGACGGCCCCCTGAGCACACCAGCAAGTTTTATGCCAAGGGAGCACTACAGTACCTTGTTCCAATCCTCACACAGACACTAACTAAGCAGGTGAGTTACCCTCCAAATCTAGTCAAGTGAACTGTGAGGCCTTGGTAATGGCTGGTTTGCTGTGGAACAGTTGCCATGAAGGAAATCCACAATTCTGAAATACCCTGATGTTCTTATCCATGACTTCAAAGAGCTGAACTGGATCTGTAAGGTCCTTTAGGCTCTGAGTAGTTTGTGACCAAATAGAAGGAACAAGACTTCATGAAGAATGTGGGTTTGATGAGTAAATAGAGAAATTATCTCTTTTTTAAAAAACTTACCTATTTTTGCCTATGCTGGGTCTTTGTTGCCACGCGCAGGCTTTCTCTAGTTGTGGTGAGCTGGCTTCTCACTGCAGGGGCTTCCCTTGTTGCGGAGCACGGGCTCTAGGGTGCAGCCCTAGTTGTAGCACACGGGCTAGGTTGCCCCACAGCTTGTGGGATCTCCCCGGACCAGGGATTGAATGGTGTCCCCTGCATTACAAGGTGGATTCTTAACCACGGGGCCACCTGGGGAAGAAGGCGCTGTTGTTCCTTTTTGGCTTTATGGTGTTCTTTTTGTTTTGTTATGGTGTTTAGAAAGATTCTGTCACCTCACCTGTTCTGGTGCATGTGAAATATACCAAAGAGCTGGGAGTGCTCTGAGGAAATAATGCTGTAACTGAGCACTGCAAAATTTCTGTGTTTACAGGAATATAACTTGCTTTTAGGGAATTTCATGACTCTTAATATAGCAGTCTCAAAAGATAAGTAGAGATATATTACTTTGAAATGCACTGGATGTTCCCTTAAATTTTCATTGCTCAGTTTTACAGCTGCTATTTTTTATTTTATTTTTTATCTTTGATCTTAGTATTTTTGCTTTTGTATATTTTTGCTGTGTTTCTCATTTGGGAACAAATCATTCTTTAGTATGTAATTTTCTGAAACTGAGTAAGTATAAATGTCTTAAATTACTCTGGTGTGAATAGCCACAATAAAAATGACCTTGATTTCTAGTTTTGAGGGAGATCCAAATGTAATCTTTTTAAAATTTTTATTGAAATATAATAATTACCTGCATACCAGAAGGCTCCCCCTACCAATGCCTTCTTCCTCTTCCCTCACCTTTAACTCCATAGGTTTTGACTAATTTTGAGCTTTATATTACTAGTCATTTAGCTTTTTTCTGTTCTGCCTTTTATTTGATGTATTTGAAATTCATCTGTATTCCATGTAGTGGGAGTTTGTTCATCTTGTTGTATAGTAGGGAGAAATACCTTCCCTCTGTCTGCATCTTGTTTAACAGAGGTTGTGTTGACGAGTTTTGGGGAGGAGATAAAGATATGAAGGTTTTCTATTTTCTTTACTTCCCCAAAGCTTAAGTTGTAATGATAATTGGGAGTACTGTAGTCAGGACCTTTTGAGTTGAAGAGCTTCTTTGATCAGGAACTGAACTAGTGCCACATTCTTTCACCAGGATGAAAATGATGACGATGATGACTGGAACCCCTGCAAAGCGGCAGGGGTGTGCCTCATGCTCCTGGCCACCTGCTGTGAAGATGACATTGTCCCACATGTCCTTCCCTTCATCAAAGAACACATCAAGAACCCTGACTGGCGATACCGGGATGCAGCAGTGATGGCTTTTGGCTGCATCTTGGAAGGACCAGAGCCCAATCAACTCAAACCACTAGTTATACAGGTGAAGCTGTGGGAGTGTAGGGGTGGGAAGTGGGGTGTTTATTGTTTAACTTTTTGCTTGATGATTTGTCTTTAAGAACAAAGCTGTAAATAGTCATCCACAAAGGTCACTTCTAGATAGCTGTTTGCTGTCAATGAGGCATAAAATGCATTTCTTACTTAACTTTTATTACAAAAACCATATGACTTGAAAAGTGGAGAAGAGGCACCAAAAAAGGTTACTTTTAATCCTCTTGCCCAAGGATAACATTATTAATGCTTTGTATTTATCCCTGAAGGTTTTTTCCATGTGTGTGTACTAGGGTGGAGGTCTTACTGTATCAATACTTTTACAACTTGTTTTTTGTTGGTTTCTTTTTTCTTCACTAAATATTATAACACAAATAATTCTCCATGGTTTTTAATGAGGTGAGTATTCAATCCTCAGGACAAAATGACATGTAATGAAAAATCTTAATGAAAGTTTTGTATTTATTTTGCTACAACAAGTGGCACAAGAATGCATTTTAGTTGTTTAGTATATAGAACTCAACCTTTCAGGAATAGCTAAATGCCATTTCAGCTGCATCCTGGGATCTCTGCCTGAATAATTCAGTAAAGATGGCTGAAAGTATTTGTACCAAAGTCTTAATAAAACTCTACTGAGATTTGATGAAGAGAGGGGGACTTTTCCATGTTTCCAGTTACTTTTGTTATATTGTTGAATATTTGACAAACATATCTTACAAAATGACAAAACTGTTTTGATAACTTTGAGTTAAAACCCAGCCATCAGTATTTCCTCTTCTGGGATGTTGGGTCAGCATGAATGTCAATCTTTGTTTTGCTTTGCCAATAACTTATGTTTATAGGCTATATTTGTTTTGTGTTGCCAATAACTGTTATATTTACAGGCTATGCCCACCTTAATAGAATTAATGAAAGACCCCAGTGTAGTTGTTCGAGATACAACTGCATGGACAGTGGGCAGAATCTGTGAACTGCTCCCTGAAGCCGCCATCAATGATGTCTACTTGACTCCCCTGCTGCAGTGTCTGATTGAGGGCCTCAGTGCTGAACCCAGAGTGGCTTCAAATGTGTGCTGGGTGAGGCATTTTCTTCCTGTTGAGATAAGGAGCTTGACTAAGCCATTGGCAAGGAAGTAGGAGGTGTGGGAGAGAAATGGGTCTACCTGACTAGAAGGCTCCTTTTGAATAGCATCTCCTTCCTAATTTCATCAATTAAAATGTGGGGGAGATGTAAGCTGCATGACCCAGAGGGAGCTGTTGACTCATGGTGACTGGTTCCCGAATTGTTTAGAACAGTCATGCTAACCCAGTGGGAAAACTCTCTGGACTTGGTTTTCTTTCTTTTCTTCAGTGGCTTGGGGACAAGAAATTTTAAGGTAGAGAGTTGCTGGCTATGAAAAGTACCATTGCTGAGAAGGGGGCACGAGGGAAGGAAGGTAGGCGGCCCAAGTGCTGAGTCAGTATAGGCTGAGTATAGTTCACTAGGGAACTTTGGGATTTGGGGGAGGAAGTTCAAATAAGGAAGGAGTGGGGTTGAAAGGCTTCCTGTGAATGGAAAGAGAAATGAAGTGGCAGGCATTCGTGGTAGGTGAGAATACTGTACTGTTTAGAGACTATTTCTCCTGTGGGCAGGAGAAACAAAATATAGATACATACATTTATTTAATTTTAAGGATACTTATAGATGTTGTCTTGAGATGACCTTGACGGGAAGAATTAAAGATTTACTGCCATTGATTTATTCTTAGATCCGTTGGAAAGGAACACTGCCTAGGGTATCTTAAGGGAAAATGAGGTGATCCTGAAATGGGGTTCTTTTCAGGACTAATTAGTATTTACTCTGTCTGGGTTTAAGGCTTTCTCCAGTCTGGCTGAAGCTGCTTATGAGGCTGCAGATGTAGCTGATGATCAGGAAGAACCAGCTACCTATTGCTTATCTTCTTCTTTTGAACTCATAGTTCAGAAGCTCCTGGAGACCACAGACAGGTAACTGATACTATACAGAAATAAGTGTTGTCTTTGCATCCAACTCCTTTTACACTGTTTGTGGGGGCTGTCTAATATAGAAACATTGCAATAGGATAAATGAAAAGAATCCTGTTGCTTTATTGCCTAGCTTATGGGATCTTAGTTTCCCAACCAGGGATTGAACCTGAGTCTTTGGCAGTGAAAGCTGGAGCCCTAACCACTGGTCCACCAGGGAGTTCCCAAGATACCTTTTTCATAGCTTTTTGTGCAACCTATTCTATTGTCCACATGGGTTCTTCAGCATTCTTGCCTATTTTTCATACAATTTCAGCCCCTTTCTAAAAGGGCCATTCTAATTATCAGGTCTGGAAACCATACTGAGCATAATCATTGGCTCAGAGGTTGAAATTTTGGTTCCAGGCTGTCTTATATCTGTCAAATTCAGATCAGGTCTGTAGCCATATTGGTTTGTGGGTTATTTTCAGTGAGATAATGTCTACATAAGAAGACTTTCTGTCCTTTCTCAGTTAAGACTTGAAGGTTTTTTGCTGTGTGTTCATTACAGACCTGATGGACACCAGAACAACCTGAGGAGTTCTGCATATGAATCGCTAATGGAAATTGTGAAAAACAGTGCCAAGGATTGTTACCCCGCGGTTCAGAAAACTACTCTGGTCATCATGGAACGACTGCAACAGGTGCTCCAGATGGAGGTGAGATTGAACACCTTCCTGGTGGGAAGGGCGTGGTACTTTACACATAGCTGTATTTTCAAGACTGTTCTCTTTTTTTTGGTGTTTAAGTATATATGTTCTTAGAAAGACATAAGGCTCATGCAAAAAATGTTGCAACTTCCAATTGTATTGCATGCTACAGTTTATTCATATATGTGTTACACCATATATATACATAGGTTTTTTATTTACTTTCCATTAGCACTAGTAGAGATTATTTATCCAGCAGAAATGGAAGCATTTTTGGAGGGCATTTAGAGCCTTTTAGAAAGTGTTTGTTCAGAACACAATCTTCTTTTCTTTGTAGTCACATATCCAGAGCACATCGGATAGGATCCAGTTCAATGACCTTCAGTCTTTACTCTGCGCAACTCTTCAGGTATGATGGTGCCTTATCACTTAATAGCACCAGGTAAAGCACCGTGTCTCAGGATGACAAGTTCACGCACACACAGAACTCTGAAGATGATGTTGTGGGCGATGATGGTCAGAAGGTCTTCTCAAAAGACAGTCGTCTGATTGATTAGGAGAGTTTCCCATTTTCCTTTCTTGTCTGTCCATAAAATTTGCCTTTTGTACAGTGCAGTGCAATTTACCTTTTGTACAATGTAGGGAAGGAAACTCCTCCTATTTGTGATGGTCCTCCCAAACATGAGAAGCTATTTTGTATTAGCAGCCTTTCGTTTTTGGTTTACATCAGGTCGTTCAAGTGTAGCCCAGTCAGATTTGGTTCCCAGCTATGGTTCACTGAGCTAAAAACAGAGCCTTGTGTTTTTGCCATCATCTTTGGAAGCAACTGCTATTGGAAACTTTGTTATTTATAATTGTAATATACAGATTATAAATTTATAATTTACTGATAATGACAGTAGACTTTTTTTTTCTGAGGAGAGACTGGGAAAATTAAAATATCACTCCTTGATCATGACTAGCATGATGGCATGGCTGAAGAGCTACTCCCTTTTTTACCTAAGAACAGGGCAGCCTTGGAACTTGTCTAGTGCTTAGGGTAGGTGCTACCCTAAGTGATGCTAACTAGGTCATCTTACCTATGACTCCCTTCTCCTGAGTCTCCTTATGCCAGACTTAATTTTTTAAAACATGGCTGTTAACAGGTCTTTCCTGATCCAGTGACATTAGTTGAAACAAAGGGTAAGGAGGGAGGTTTGAGGAATGTTGAATTGGGAAAAGTCAGATTGGCTTTATCAAGACTTTCTTGACCACAATCTGTAAATGGGTTAGGCCATAGAAAGGGTTGCTTTTTTGTTTTATGAGTAGCAATTCTCATATGACATGTCCTTCTTCAAAGCTGAAATAATTTAACTGCCATTTTAATACAGCTAAATATGGAGGCTGATTTATCATACTTGATGGAAGATCTTCTTGTGTTTGTTCTGAATTGGGAAATAGATGAGTTATTTAGATGTATGTTTTGTTGCAGGTGATTTGCACTTTCAAAACTTCTGAGCAGAAAAAGCTTTTCCCCAAAAAAATTTCTAGAGACTTAACTGATTTAAAAAAAAAAATTAAAGACACAGTATGGTGTGCTGGTTGGAGGGTTTGGAATCAACAGATTCTGAACTTTTATTCATTTTACAGAATGTTCTCCGGAAGGTGCAACATCAAGATGCTTTGCAGATCTCTGATGTGGTCATGGCCTCCCTGTTAAGGATGTTCCAAAGCACAGCTGGGTCTGGGGGAGTGCAAGAGGATGCCCTAATGGCAGTTAGCACATTGGTGGAAGGTCAGTGAGCCGCAATCAGGCAAGGAAACTTCTTTAGAGTGCAAGAGAGTTTCAGTAGCCATGAAGAATTTTTGACTGCAAAAAGCATAGTCCTGCTTTTCACTTACTGGATATTGAGTCAGTTCAGAGTTGGATTGAACATAAGTATAAATTTGTGTATAACTGCCTTGCCACTCTCCCTGAAGTGAATGGGAGCCAATTTGCAAGTCAGGTTGGCAGCTCTTTGTGGGGTAGAGGGAACTGTTACCTATCTCACGTTCCTCGGGTTCCTCTCCCCCCTGAAACTTAACTTGCTTTATTGAACTTTGACACCTGTAAAGGATGGAGGAAGCAAAGGTTTATGTTTTCTTTCCTGGCACTTGGTACCTTCTGGTTTGGGTTTTAATGCTTTGGATCTATGTTGAGACAATATGGTGCCTAGTGTGGAATGAGATGAAACACTGAATTCTAGGAATTAATTGATTTTCTGATTGTTACATATCTAACTATTTGGAATTGCTTTGGGGAAACCATATCTGACTTCAGAAATCAGGAATGCTTCTTCAGTGGTGGTCTCTAAGGTGTATTATTAAGGCAGACTCATTTCTAGCATAAGGAGCCTGTGTCCAACTGGTTTGGCACCTTGTGACCACCCTGGCAGGGCACAGAAGTTAATTTTGGTTCCCAGAGTAGCTGAATTGAATATGAAACCCAGGCAGCTTTTCTTGACTGGCTTGTTAAATAAGTCCTTGATGAAACTGCTTAAAGATCCTGTTTTATTAAGCTGGCTTCTGGGAACCCCTCATGGCCTAGTGGTTAGGATTTGGTGCTTTCACTGCCATGGCCCATGTTCAATCCTTGGTCAGGGAACTGAAATCCCACAAGCCACATGGTGAGGCCAAAAAAACAAACTGGCTTCCAGAGTGTTCATGTTACAATCAGATGAAGAGGTGGAAGTCAGTATGACTACCTCAGCCAATTCATAATGAACGTTGACATTCCTTGAGAGCCATACCACTTGGTAGTTTCAACCAGAGTGAAATCCCACTCTGGAGATTTGGCATTATCTCCAGCAGTTATGAATTTGGCTTGTCCAAGACAGCAGTAATGTCTTTATGATAAAATTGGTATTTAACTCTCATTTTACCCTGCCTTTTGACTGGAGTGCGTACATTTTGGGAGAGCTAAGATGGTTATTTTTGCTCTCTTCTGTGATCCTGTGGTGCTAATAGATGGGTTTTTTTTTTTTACAGTGTTGGGTGGTGAATTCCTAAAGTACATGGAGGCCTTTAAACCCTTCTTGGGCATTGGATTGAAAAATTATGCTGAGTACCAGGTAAGCTATGCTTTTCAAAAATATGTTTATATCCTCATTTATACCTGGTAGGCATTATAGTACAGAAATCTGGATCCTGTAATGGAGGTGGTGCTTCCCCATGTATCAGGGTTGAGCTACTTTGTTGCCATAAGTGTCTGAACTAAAAGTAGTCAGTAAGAAACTGGGTATTAGACACACCAGAGTAGCATCAGAAAGGTTTTGTTTTGTTTTCAATAAACCATCTGTCTCTGCCACCACCTTCCTTGGTGAATATTGTCTTTTCTGTCCTTTCTTAATGATAATTTAAATAATCCTAGTTCTCTTTCTGCCATATTGGTTGTTAAAATGAACTAAGCTCAGGGAAGAAGGGTCTTTGCTGCTTTGACTCTAGGTTCATGTGGTAAAGGATCAGTAGCAAGGTAAAAATCATGCCTTACCCCTGCAGGCAGACTTTTGTGTTCCAGAGATGATCAACTTGATTCTTTGCAGGTTTGTTTGGCAGCTGTGGGCTTAGTGGGAGACTTATGCCGTGCCCTGCAATCCAACATCTTACCTTTCTGTGATGAGGTGATGCAGCTCTTACTGGAGAACTTGGGGGTGAGTGTCTACACACAGAATCTTAGAAAGATGATTAAACATCAAGATCCATGACAGAGAGTTTGTATGTTCCAGAATGTTGGCTGTGGGCTTATGAAGGGAATTGTTCATTTTTACAAGATGATTCTAACCTAAGGAAATAAAGTAATGCATGCTCAATGTATGGAACCTGAGAGGCACTGGTGGGAACCTGTAAAGTACAAAGAAAAAGTAAATATTATAATCTCTCTCTCTCTAGAGATGACCACTGCTGATTTTTGTGTATGTCACTTAGAGGTCTATAACCAATATATTGAGTCTATACCCAATATATTAGTTGCTTATTGTTAAAAAAAGCTCTTTGAGTCTTTGGACAGAACTTTTTTTTTTTTTCCTCCTTGTCAGAATGAAAATGTCCACAGGTCTGTGAAGCCACAGATTCTGTCAGTGTTCGGTGATATTGCCCTTGCTATTGGTGGAGAGTTTAAAAAATACCTAGAGGTTGTTTTGAATACTCTTCAGCAGGCCTCCCAGGCCCAAGTGGACAAGGTAAGCTTAAAGGTATCTTTAAGTCCAGCTCTGATTGGAGGAGCGGGACTTTTGACAAATGCACAACCAAAGGCCATCAAATACAGTGATTCTGTTCTTTTTCTCTTGCAGTCAGACTATGACATGGTGGATTATCTTAATGAGCTACGGGAAGGCTGCTTGGAAGCCTATACTGGAATTGTCCAGGGATTGAAGGGAGACCAGGAGAACGTACACCGTTGAGTATACATTCCAGTTGACTTAGTCTAGTGTGCACTTAGCCAGATGGACTCTGTGTTCATTGTATGGCTTACATGCAAACTAGCACTTACTGCTTAAAAGAAGGGGAGGAGGAACAGTGCTCTAATGAAGGGAGTAGCTTTGCGGGGAGGTTATAGACTTTATTATTTCTGACCACCGCGTCTTCAGCTGTGTTGTTTAACAACTTGATCATTGCAAGGGATGGAATCTAACAAGGCTGTTGATGCTGGTGCATGTGTACCAACCCCAAGTGGGAGTTCTTGAGATGTGCTGCCCCTCCCCCCATCCAGTCATCTGAATTGAAGGATTGGGGGATTAGATTTCCTCTGTCACCTGATGTTTTTTGTTATTGACTGGGGAAATATTGTACTTCACACTTCTGATATCATAGGCTTAAAGATTGCATTTGTCCTACTACATATATATACATACTTCTGTTTGTTAAGGAGTATCTACCTCTTTTGTTGACTTGAAGAATGAGGAAAAATAGTTTGGTGTAACTGTGTATGACTAGTTCTCTGGACCGAAGCCTCCATGATGGGGGTCGGGTATTTGGGAATTTTGAAACAGGGTGTATGTCTGCCAGCTGGAGGGCAACCTCATTAGACCTTCTTTTTCTTTTATAGCGGATGTGATGCTGGTACAGCCCCGAGTAGAATTTATTCTGTCTTTCATTGACCACATTGCTGGAGATGAGGATCATACAGACGGAGTAGTAGCTTGTGCTGCCGGACTGATAGGGTGGGTTATACTCTGCTTCTGATAGTTGAATAGAACTTCTCACAGAAAATGAGAAGACATGTTGTAAAGAATATTGAGAGTAGCCTGGATGGTAATTACCCACCTTTTTTGGCACAGAGGGGACTTCTTTCTTTAGTAGACCCCATCTTACCCTGTTTTGAGTTCTTAGATGATAATTCATTTCGGACTTAGCTCTAATCTCATTCCAGACCCTCCAGATTTCTAATTTCTCCCACCAAACTCTTAAGAAGGGAGCTCTCAAAGAAGTATAGAAGCAACATCAGATCTATGTCCATCTCATATTCTGGTGTTGGTCAACAAATTACCTCTGTTTGGCCTCCTCTACTGAGGGTTTCTGAGGCATCATTAGAAGACAGAACATTGGTTTTGAGGAGCTCAGAGACTTGGAGTCTAGTTCTTATTTTACCATGAATTAGCTGTGGAACCTTGGGTAAGGTCATTCTTTTTTTTTTTTTTTAATCTCATTTTTGTAATCTGTTGAGGGCAGGTGTTAGACTTACTTATCTTGAAAATTTCTTCTGGCTTTAAAAAGTAGGTGAATACCAAAAAACCTATAGCTAGTTTAGCTATAGGTTTGGAAGGTTCTAAACATGATCTTGTTGTGGGGCCAAGAGCTCATTTTCAGGTGTGTTTAATTTGCACAGGGACTTGTGTACAGCATTTGGGAAGGATGTACTGAAATTAGTAGAAGCTAGGCCAATGATCCATGAACTGTTAACTGAAGGACGGAGATCGAAGACTAACAAAGCAAAAACCCTTGCTACATGGGCAACAAAAGAACTGAGGAAACTGAAGAACCAAGCTTGGTAAGAGCTTGTCTCCACTGCCCTTTCTTCTGCTTTCTTGGGGAGGAGGTACATTTCCTTTAGACTTTTCTGACAAGGGCTTTCTTTTGGTGTTTTGTACTATTTCCCATATAAATGCTTCTGAGCCAGGACTTTGTTCCTCAGCTTTGTACTAGTGGAAGAGTCAGGCAGCCCATTTTTCCTTGAGCCAAGTATTTGGTGATAAAGGACAGAATTTACATGACTAGAATTCAGTGAAGTCCCCAAATCATTTTGGAACCTTAATAAAGTTATCGATAATGGCCTTTTCCCGTAAATCTTTCTCTGCTCTCTATTTCTTTCCTCATGTTCTTTTCTTTCTTTACTGAAGTGCTTTTAGACAAGGCTTTATTTTACAAAAGATATCCAGAGTTGGAGTTATCTGACGTCTGCTTTGAAATGCAGCTTTGTTTTTCTCTCACTTACACCACAGATCTCAGGGCTTCCCAGGTGGCACTAGTGGTAAAGAACCCACCTGCTAATGCAGGAGACACTAAGGATGTGGGTTCGATCCCTAAGTTGGGAAGATCCCCTGGAGGAGGGCATGGCAACCCACTCCAGTATTCTTGCCTGGAGAATTCCATGGACAGAGTAGTCTGGTGGGCTACAGTCCATGGGGTCACACAGAGTCGGACACGACTGAAGTGACTTAGCACACACGCACATATCTCAGTAAAATTGGCCATTTTGAGTTTAATCTTTATGGTTTCCCACCCTTTGTAAGTGCTAATGAAAGCAGGTAGATGGCATATAGGGAACTAATAAAAATAATCAGCCCTTGAAAAGTTGACAAATTCACTTCAGGTCTTTGAGCACTTAATTGTAGGAATCAGTGAGATGTTTGGCTCTATTGGCTATATGCGATCTCAAAAATTGACCTTTTTTCCATCTGTTTTTAGATCTGTTACCATTGGGATGATAACCTGAGACCCCCACTGGAAATCTCCAATCTTTTGAAAAACCCGGAAGTGAGGAGTGTGCACGGATGCTGAATGTTTGGGAATGAGAGAATGAGTGAGTGAGGCTTGAAAACACACCATATTGAAAATCCTGCCACAGCAGCAGCTGCAGCCACCAACAGCAGTGCTGTTAGTGAGCTAAGTAAGCACTGACTTCGTAGAAAACCATAACGTCGGCCATCTTGGAAAAGAGAAAAACAGTGGATTTACTTGCTTATAAAAAAGGAAGCTCTCTCTTCCCAGGAGAGGCTAGAACTAGCTTTTCTGTCTTTTGGCCGGTGCCGAGTGGAATGACTAGCTTGGGAGAGGAGGAGGGACTGGGTTCAGCTGTGGTGCTTTGTTGTAAAAGGCAGCCTGGCCTTTGCTACTGATGAGAAAGATGGAGCCTGAGTCTCAAGCCCACCTTTGGTGTACCTTTGCCACATGGTACTGGTACTATATGCGTGCCGGCTAAAAGGAGGGTGAGGGACTCTTTACAGTCTGAGAATGAATGTGTGTGAATGAGGCGGTATCCACATTCTCAACTTCAAGTCATTGCAGTTTCTTTTTCCCAGAAAAAAAAAGGGGTTAGATGTTGCATTTCATAAAACTAACTGAAGTTCGGTCTACTGATGCAGCACAAGAGATGTAAGAGAAGAAAGAAAAAAAAGGAAAGACGCTCTTTAGGTTTTGTTTTTTGGGGTTTTTTTTTTTTCCTTTTTCTTTTTTTTTTTTAATTTTAGGGAAAACACTGACGAATGGTCAGAGCTCCCATCCTGATCTTTTCATCAAGGCGCCTTTCCTAATAATATGGTTCAACTGTGAATGTAGAAGTGGGGGGGGGGGTGGGGGGAGAAAAAAAACTCTGGAGTTAGAGGATATAGAAAAAATAAAAATACATTGTTACAAATAAAGAATGCAGACTTCAAAAGAAAGCCACAACCCAAACAAACCAAAATTTAAATGCTCAGAATTGGCAGCACAAAAGAAAAGTTCTCTCCTGACATGTATTGTGGCAGTCTGAACGCCCCCAGAAAATTGTGCCAAAGAGTTTAGAAAACATATACTAAAAACAAAACACATACAAACAGCAAACTTCAGGTAACTATTTTGGATTGCAAACAAGGATAAATTTAATGTTTATAAACAATCTGATAAAATAACCATTTGGAAACTGCTTGGCCTTCTGTTCTCATTTATTTGATTGATTATAATGAGGTATTGGTCTCTTGCTGCACTTCAAAACCAAGTGATCAAAAGAATATGTGTGTGTGTGTATACACACACACACACACACATATATATACATTAGAACTCGTGTGATGAAAATGGCACTTGAAAAGGTTATATTTTTCCACTGAAGTTGAAGATTAATAAAATGGTGTCAAAACATTCCCCTGGTCACACGCTTTAATATTTTTGTTTAAAGTGTGATGTGCTATGGTAACGATAAATCAATTATTTTCCCTTTTACAAGGGAACAGGGCACCTTGAATTTTGGTTTTAGCCTCTCAGCAATAAGGAGGGATGTCAGTGAGCTTTGATCCCCTTTTGGTTTTGCAATTATTAGGAGTTTTTGCTGGCATTTTGAATATGCTGCTTTCAAAAGCACCACGGAAGATTTTAAATTGCTTCCTGGTATTTGGAGGATTAAAAAATAAGACCTTAACTTCCCACTTTTACTTCCATTCTAGCAAAAAATATGGGCTTACATTTTTTTCTCTTTGCCAACTCCCTGTTCAGGCCTTCCATTCATAAGTGGGATTGGCTCAGTTTTGCCCATCCATATGGCAGCATCTCTAATAGCTCTTGTACAGGGTATCAGATATTGTGCCTTTTGGTGCCAGGTTCAAAGTCAAGTGCCGATCTATGAACCAGTGTACAAAAAAAAAAAAAAAAAAAAAAAAAAACCAGGTGTTTGAAGGAAAGACGCTCCATTGTGAATAGAGAGCTCACACCAGCTCCTAAGCCCTATGAAGAGACCTGGCTTTCTAATGCCTTGTTTAAATTTTAGTTGTTCCTTGAGGGAAAGGATGATATACTAACCATTCCTGATAAGGGTTGATCAGGGCTTAGGGAGGGGGCAGGAATATTGGGGAGAAAAAAAATCTGATCATTCCTCAGTGCTACCCATTTCTGTCCTGTGTGGGCTGCTTAGCTAGACAGCAGGAGAATAAAGTACACCAAGAACCATAATGAAAACAAAACCTTCCGTGTGTTTTGTCATGTTTTGTTCCAGGGAAGCAGTTGACAAGTGCTGTTACTAATGCTTTCTCCCAGACCGTTCAGTGACGGAGAGGAGGAAAGTGGGCTGGCTGGTTTGTGGTCTTGGTGCCTCGCAGTTTTCTTTGCACTGGTTATGCATTTATTATCCTCCTCTTTTCTAGTTACCTTTGGCTAGTGGGTCTTCCCACTGGGTATTTGTCCTTAATCAACTGTACCACCTAAGGCAACTGGATGCAAAATGCATTCTGTCCACTCACTGTCTGGGCCTTACCCACTCTAGTCTTGGCACATTCCTTCAAGAATGTCATTACCGTCTGGTAAGATGTCAGTGAAATGTGAAGAAAACAGGCATCAGACTAGGCTTTGGTTTGCCACAAGTGGCAGCTGCCTATATCAATTACAATTACATTAATTCTGCTTTTCATTTTCCCAGTTCCTCCCAGCTCCCTTCTGTTGAAATGTTGAGATTTTGGCTGTCAGAGGCAACTGCAACATTGCCTTAGGGACTTGTGGAGGAGGGGAATTGCTCAGTGTAGTATTTTCATTTTCAGAACCAAGTAATCTAGTCACTCTTATATAAAAGTGTGTTAGTCCAACTTTAAGAAAAATTCAAACTCCATCAGCTTTTGATAGCATCTTGGATTTTCAAACAACTTCAATCTGTAATTGGCATTAAGAATGCCCTTGGCATGCCAGTCTGTGATGGCAGTAAAAGACCTGTTAAAACACTTGAGCCCAACTTTATTAACCAAAACTGATACCACCACCTTTATCTTCTAAATAAAGTCCGCTTTATTTTTATTTTCAACATTTTGCCGCTTCATTTTTGGTTCTAGATGGTGTCACCTTGGAGGTGAAATGAGCTGTTTGAAAGAAGCTGGTATGTATGGTGATAGATGTGTGAGTTGGGGAGAGGAAGGACACATCTAAGGACAAGCTCTGCTGTAGTACAATGGGAAATGAGTAAGAAACAATTTCCTACAAGTGAGGCAGTGAGAACTACGTGGAGGAGGTTTCCTGTCCAGAGAAATCTGAAACTGCTGGAGACTGTCCTGTCTTGTGCATATTTTTCAGGCTAATGATCTGGTCTGTAATGGCTTATCCAAAAGTTGGATTTTTTAGTTTGCAGCGTGTACTTAATTTCTGCTCACACTCTTTCCCCACCTCTGCCCCCCCAGGCCCGAAACTTATAGAGGAAAGAACACTAACTTGAGATTAAGAAACGGTCCTCTCTTGCATCCTGCTATTTATTAGTGCAGTGAGATACCTGCAGGCTACTTTATGGAAAAATGCACTTTCTTACTTTATGTTGGGCAAGTAAAATGAGGGCTGACCTTCATTTTCCTACTTTAGCCTCCATGTGGCCTTTCACCATTTCTGATTGCACACCCGTCAGTAAGAAATTTTTGATCATGCATACCCCTATGTGTTGATAAATTATATACCTGTACTACTGTACCCCATATATTGTGTAATCATAAGACACAAAAATAGATATTAAAAAGCAATTATATGAAAAATAAATGTAAGTAGGAGTTCTAATATTTTTTTTCTGTACCCAACTTTGGAGATTACTGGGTTATAGAGGGTAACTTGTAGTTCTTACTAGACTGCATTAAATTTTGAGTGATGGCAAGGACATTTCTCCATTGAAAGTATACTTGGAGGAAAGAATGGTATCTGTTCATTATCGAATGATAAGGAAGAGCTGCTTCCCCTAAGAATCTTTTTCCCAACAGTCCTCCAGATAATTCCCCATTCCTATTTAACTCCCTCCTCAACTAACACTGAGAAAGGACATAAGAGTACAAGGTTACAGTTG